CACTGTGATAGCACAGCTGATCCCAGAGAAGCCAGAGGGGATCCCTGGAATGGGTTCGCCCCAAGAGGGAGGCCTAAAGAGAGGGGTTCAAACCTTGGAAAGCGTTGTGATTCTCGTGGCATCTTGTAAGCTCTTGCTGGCCCTTACTAAAGTATTCTTAGGTGACAAAGAATCTTTGGTGGGTGCCTGAGAAAATATTTCCTCTAGGGCAAAAAGCAGTCCTATAGGGTTACTACTGCATTTGACTTGCGTGGGGGCATATGGGCTGGTTTTTCCTAGAAGTTTGTTCACTTTACAGATTACAAAATTAACATGGAAAATCATGCCTGAGGCCGACAAGCTCCATGATAGTCAGCCTCTCATTAATACTAAGATGGCCAAAATGAGGATCCTTTGATACTTCTAAATTAATTTTTGTGCACACGGTCAGAAAAGGCTGGCTACAAAATTAGAATGAAAAACCTATTTAATTGGTTTCTCAAGCTTCAAAAAGAGTAGTTAGATAAATAGATCAACCTATGATGATGATGTTTAGATGTCAACCCAATTTTTTGAGGCTGCCCTTATTTTTTTTTCCTTTTTATTGAATTTATTGGGGTGATACTGGTTAATAAAATTATATAAGTTTCAGGTGTACAATTATATTGGCTGTCCTTATTTTAAAAGAAGGAAGGTGAGGTCATTCGGAACCTGACTTGTCAAGGACAGATAAACTGTAAATGCCTCCAGGGCCAAATTTGGATTCTTTTATAAACTAGTGAGTTTTTTCTCATTGCTAAATGGCCTCTGTGTCTGTCTGTACATGTGTCTATATATGTATGCTGTAAATGTGAGATAATTTTCTACCTCCAGATGGTATTGTTAAAATTAATTTAAAGGCAAGCACTTGTAAGAATCGAGTATTCTAAAATTATCAGAAATACAGAAACTAACACAAGTCTTTCAAGTTTATGAGATCTAAGATGAATCCTTAGTAAACGAAAGCTAGCTTGAGTTTGTTGGTTTAAGTAAAAAAGACATATCTTTATTTAAGTCCATGTTAATAACTGACTTTATATCTACAAAATGTTTCTAGAGTTCATAAAATGTCTTAAATATATTTGCCAGTAAAAGCCTGTTTCTAGAGGTTATAAAATATCTTCATAAATCTGTCAAGCTAAAGAATGCCAATTGCTTACCCACTAATTTTCATTGGAAATTAAAGTTTTAAGGGTTAAAATATCAATATATGTAGGAAAGCTTCTAGGGTACAGTGTATGTGCAAGCAATGGTTGTAAATTAAACAGTCAGGGCTATGAAAAACCAAAGATGGCTGCTTGGTTCTTCTCTGCTCTTTGGTTTCCCATTTTTTGATTTTTGCATTTCTTCATGCATCACAGTACCTCTGAACTGGACTTAGATGAAGGAACGTAAGAGCTGACATTACTGAAAAGAGACATCTTATACTATTGCCAAGGTTTAGAGTCACTTCAAGAAAATGCCAAGTTGGTAACCCTTTCCTTTCACAGCGAGCTCCCAGGAAGCAGTGACTTTAAAGACCATTTGACTGCCCCTGGAGATTTTATTGAAGGGGCATGAAATAAAAGACACTCTCCAACCTCATTGGATAGGACCTTATCAGGCACCTAACTTCAAATTGACATCTTACTCCTGTTTACAGATATCAAAGACTCCTTGAGAACAAGAAGCCACTTATACCAAAGATAGACAACTATCCCAAGATATCAATAAGGCCTATATCTCTACAGATTGATATTGAACCCAGCAACCATTTTGTTTACCTTTACCTGACTGCTAATGATATTAGTCACCATAATATTTATATTTATTCTTTAGGTTTCTCTATATAGTCCAACTGTTTATGATTACTGAACATGTATAATTGTTAATACTCTTTTCATGACTTATGTAAATTTTATACTAGATGCCAAATATAAAAAAAAAATGTGACAGAAACTGGGATCATGATAGGTCACAGAATAGAAATGATCTAGAGTGTATTTTTCCTCAATGAAGGCCATTAAGATCTTGGAACAGCATAGGGACAGCTCAGGATCCCAACAACAGTGAATAAGAAAAACTGCAGAACTGACATCACCCCACTGCCCCTTGCCTGATTCCAAGGACCTCAGGTAGCCAGAAGAAACACCAATAAGCCAACCATAAGAATGTCACCACTCTTCTACTCCCTGCTCCAAAAAAAAAAGAAAAAAAAGAAAAACGAGTTTTATTTTCCTTCTAACTGCCTGCTTCTCCAATCCCCACGTGGGAAATTTCACAAACCCACCTTTTTGTACAAGCCCAATTGTCCCCAACTTATAAAAGCAGCCAAGCAGAGCCAGACCCTTGAGCCAGTTCAGAGAACCTTCCTTTCCCCTGTTGCTGCCTCACTTGTGCTTAAGCATAAGCTTAGTAAAAATCTGTTTGGAAATTTCTCTAAGGTTTCCTCTTGATTTCTATCTTGGAGAACCCAAGAATCCTCATGCTGGTTAACAACCTGATGCCTTCCCTTTGCCTACCCTTCTCTTTTTGGGAAAAATGTGGCCTCAACTCAGATCCCATGGTTACAGTACTGCCCCATCCTCAATGGTCAACAAGATGCCCTGAGACTGAGACTTTCTAGGAATGAGCCTTCCTAGCACTGTGAGACCACTCTATCTGACCAAAAGGTTGGTTATCAATGCATCCTTCAGACTGATTTATGACTAAGGGAAAACTGGACGAAAAAGGGTTTCTACAGAAAGTAACCTCACAGGGTGATCTGATTATAAATTCCTAACTAGGCAGGTCATGGTGGGTAGGCATGCCCCAGACATAACTTCTTTAGTGAAAGGTTTATCTGTGCCATAAGTAAGCCCTGCTCATTGTTTCTGTGCATGTAGGTTAACACACCTTTGAAATAACCACCCTCAAGACAGCACATAATCTCGTTAATCATTATGTAATCCAATTCAATTCCTGCCTTACTTTCTCTCACCTCCATGTAATCTTCCTTACTTTCCTTCCTTAATTTCAAATGCATAAAAGAAGTCGCAAAACTGTTATTCTCAGGAAGCATTTGAGATCTTGATTCCTGACTCACATACATTTTTATAAAAATCCAAACAAACAAAAGTTCTGCATGCAAATACAAGTATAACAACTATAACAAAAAAATCTATAAAGAACATACTGTTTTTTCCTAAGCAGACGCAATGTAAATGTTTATTAAAATTTTTCCTTTTCCCCAAATAAGTCATGCATTATTATCATTATCCATAATTCAAGATAGGATAACTATATTTAACTCTACATACATCTAGGAATACTACCACTCAGTAAACAATAAGAATAAAATTTCATTCCGTCCTATTTTCACATCAGCCATCAACAAATTATTTTCAGAGTCAAGCATTATAATCAACAAACATCTGACAATATACAAAAAGGAGGGGAGAAACCTAGGCAAGAAATTAACTTGAAGAAAGTTAATTTCTATTCACTGTTCTGTCTCCTAGTATGAATAATGTTCTCTCTTAAGATAAATAAAACCCCAAAATACTAAACTAAGTACAATTTCAAAATACACTATAATGTACCATATACTGGTCAAAGAACTGAGCTTTTATGTTCAAATATTTCTTTAAAATTGCCCCTAAGAATGAAGAGTAGTAGTTTCATTCTTACACTTCCAACCAATCCTCTCTAAGTTTTTTTTATTTCAGTATTCAGCTAAGCTTTTGTTTCAACCTTGGAATATCCAAAGGGAGAACTATAAAAAATGATGGAAAAATACTTTAAGATTTTTCTTAAATGTGTAAAATAAACACATGTAAGTCAAATTTAGGTATCAACACAGATCCTAAGTGCTTTTTACTTTTATAAGCAATATAAGGTCTATCAGAATGTGAATCCTCTTTGAATGTATTAGTAAATTATATGATTAACATACTCATTTCAGATTAACTACAAATGGTACCTTAATTGATCTGCATTTAACTGACCTGCCTCAAACACTTTTTTTGTCCTTTATTTAATGCCACGGCATGCTGACCCCTCTCAACTAGTATGCTATTTTTAGTGTATTTAGACACTTTTCTTTTTTTGTATGTGCCCCTAGCGGGAACCAAACCCGGGACTCTCTGGTCCACAGTTCAATGCTCCAACCGCTGAGCCAAACCGGCCAGGGCTAGACATTTTTCTGATCCCACTAATTATAATATATGTTTAACAGGTCAGTTGGTTGTTCCCAAATTTGTTTATGCCAGCTTACTTGCTGTACTTCCTACATAACTGAATTAAACATTATATAAGTGTATGAAATATAAATACAAAAAGAAATTTGTTTCTATGTAAACTAAGTTGAATGTAAACCAAGTAGATTCCTCAACTAAGGTGAGTCATTTTTTTAAAAGGTCCTGAATTAGATAAAGGTAAGACATCTGTAATATATTAGGAAAAAAATCAGAAAAAGCCAGAAAGAACCTATATTTAGGGTTTTTCAAGTGTCTTTAAGCTTTTATTCTACTTTAGAAAAATCAAAACTGGAAATTGCAAATCATGCATTATGAATATAGTTTATACAAGATTAACTTCTCTCAACTCCACCATTCAAAGAGATGGTGTTGGCTCTACATCAAAAAGTTGGCAAATATAGATTTATATATTTTAAGTTAAAATTTTAAAATGTTATGTATTTTTTTTATTTTCCTACTTTAATGTTTTCAATAATCTACCGATCTCAACAGACATGAAACCTTCTAACATCTTTTTTTTCTGAAGGCCTCATTGAAGGGCTTGATATACCAACTAGATAAATATTACATGTCTATATCAAATAATAGTATATGATAATAAAAACTCTAAAACAGCTTTATGGAAAAAAATATCAGACTGTATACTCCACAAGGGCAAGGATTTTTACCTACTTTGTTCACAGATGTCTACCAAGTACCTGGAATAGTACCTGGTGTACAGTTGATGCTCAATAAATATTTGTTTCATGAAGAACAGAAACTTACCGTGATGACAGCCTTGCTAAGACAGATGGATCCTCTGCAGCCATACTCTGTCTCGTCTTCAGATTTGTAGTAACTCAAAGTATTGTTTTTCAAAACTACCCAACGATCCTGCCACCCATGAATGTAGTTTGTCCACTGGGAGTAGGAGAGAGGCAGGGGAAGAAAACAACAACAAATCAGTATTTTAGAAATCCAAACTTTCTGAAACAGCAATCAATCTAATTTTAAAACTAAAATATGGAAAGTTCTCAGGTAATTATAAATAGTAAAAATTTATAAAAAGTGGAAAGTTGATATTTTCTAGACTATATGATTTTCAGTAATTTTTACAAAATTATAAATATATAAATAAAATATAATATTTTCTTCTAACATCTGAGGAATAAAATAGAAGCATGCTTTAGTTTAAAATTCTGCTTTGCTTCTGCAAAGGAAACCAACAAAACAAAAAGGAAACCAACTAAATGGTAAAGATATTTGCAAATGATACTTCCAATAAGTGGTTAATATTCAAAACATAACAGAACTCATACAACTCAACAACAACAAAACATTCCATTTAAAAATAGACAGAGAATCTGAATAGACATTTTTCCAAGAAGACATAGAGATGGCCAATAGCCATAGGTAAAGACAGTCAACATCACCAATTATTAGGGCAATACAAATCCAAATCACAATGAGATATTACCGCATACCCATTAAAATGGCTACTAGCAAAAAGGCAAAAAATAACAAGTGTTATAGAGGATGGGGAGAAAAGGGAACCCTTGTACACTATTGGTGAGATTGTAAACTGGTGCAGCCGCTATGGAAAACAGTGTGGAGGTTCCTCAAAAATTAAGAATAAAGCTACCATATGGCCCAGCAATTCCTCGTCTGGGTATTTATCCAAATATGAAAACACTAATTCGAAAAGATATGTTCATTGTAGTATTATTTACGATACCAAGATATGGAAACAATCTAAGTGTCCATTGATGAATGACTGGATAAAGATGTGGTGGGTGGTGGTGGTGGTGGTGGGGGGTGTGTGTGTGTGTGTTAATACTACTCAGCCATCAAAAATGAAATATTGCTATTCTCACAACATGTATAGATCTTGAGGGTATTATTATGCTAAGTGAAATAAGTCAGATGGAATGGAAAACGACAAAAACCACACAATTTCACTCATATGTGGAATATAAAATATAAAAGTAATAAACGAATGCCCTGGCCGGTTTGGCTCAGTGGTTAGAGCGTCCGCCTGCGGTCCGGAGAGACCCGGGTTCGGTTCCCGCTAAGGGCACGTACTTCGGTTGCAGTTTGTCCCCGGCCCTGGTTGGTCGTGCGGGTGGCAGCCACTCGATGTGTCCCTTCACGTCGATGTTTCTCTCTCTCTCTCCCTTCCTCTCTCTCCCTCCCACTCTGTCTGTACAAAAAATGGAAAAATGTCCTCGGGTGAGGATAAAAAAAAAAAAAAAAAAAGTAATAAACGAACTAACAAAACAAAAACAAACTCATAGATACAGATAATAGAATAGTGGTTACCAGAGGGGAAGGGGGGTGGTGGAAGGGTGAAATGGGCAAAGTGGATCAAATATATGATAAAGGATAGAAATTAGACTTTTTTTTGGAGGTGAGCATGCAACAGAATATACAAATATTGAATTACATGTTGTATACCTGAAATCTATATAATGTTATTAACCAATGTTACCTCAATAAAAAAAATTTAATTAAAAAAATTATGCTTTGTTTTTTACATGCTTTCATTCTCCCCTCAACACCACTTCATGACACTTAAGTTGTTTTGGTCCCTGCTACAATGAACATATTCAACAGAAAAGTTTGGTTATATATTCTCTCGTTCTCCTACACCAAGTATTGCATGAAACCTAAATCAACAGAAGTATGAAGCTAATCATGGCCAAAACTGTACTTTTGTTTAAGTTATTCCTGTTTAAGTTATTCCTGTACGAAAATGCACTATGTTCATAATTACATCAAAGTAGAACTACTAGATCATTAATCTGCAGTAAATCTATATCAACTTCATTTTTTTCCTCCACAGAACTCAACATTTCATATTTAAAATAGTTAATTCATTTTCCAAGTTTATCTAAAGATATATTTTTCAAATGCCTAAGTAATAATACAAATATAAAACTGGTTTTTTAAAAACATACTTGCATTATCTGTTTCCAGTACCTATAAATGGTTTCCGTGTTGCTAAAATTTTGCTGCACACTGCAGAGCACAATAAATAAACTTGCAATGGCAGAAATGTAACCTCTATGGGAATTCTTGATTTTGCATATTTTAATATTCTAGGGCTTTTAAATATGGACAATTCCAAAACTGTCTGCCAAAAACTAATTAAAAGTGGATTGTTAAAAATATATAATATACTGCATTGGCTCAGGCTCTTTACCCATTGAGAAATCTTTACTTTCCTGTTCCCTATTCAGCATGTTTGAGATGGTTCAGACCTTAAATCTTCCAAGTCCCATCATTGCAACCACTCCCTGAGAGGTCATCCACGTTGACAATTTAACTCATTCTTTCCTCAGGGCTCCCAAATCATCATTTTCTTATTTTTAACTCCCTGTGACTTAGCAAGTTGAAATAATGATTCTCTCATACAAAACTAAATTCATCTCCTCTCTTAAGGTGCACTTTCCCCATGTTTCCATTTCCTTGACTTCTGCAGTCATTCAGACTCAAACCTGACTAAGGGTTTGTGTATTGTATGGACAGAGCAGTAGATACAAAATCAGAGATTCAACTACTTTACTAGTTGTTTGAGGAGTTTTGACAAGTTAACTTTCTAAGCTTCAGTTTCTTTGCTGAATAAAATTGTGAAGATGCCTACTATAGTCATAGGAATACTCAATACCTAAGGGTTCATCCTCAAATCTTTTAAGCCCTTCACCAACTCCTATTCATATTTCTTTCATATAAAAACTCTCTCTCTCTCTTTTTTATCCTCACCCAAGGACATTTTCCATCTTTTGGTCAGAAAGAGTGGAAGGGACAGAGAGAGAGAGAGAGAGAGAAACATCGACGTGAAAGGGACACATTGAGTGGCCACCACCCACACAACCCAAACAGGGCCGGGGACAAACTGCAACCGCGGTACATGCCCTTAGCGGAAACCGAACCCAGGTCTCTCGGGACCATAGGCCGACACTCTAACTGCTGAGCCAAACTGGCCAGGGCCATATAAAAACTCTTAAATTTGGCCCCTTTTTTTCTAATTTCAATTAATCCGATTAAATTATCAGGTTCCTGAGTTCCTGGTAAAGCTTAATAACCTTATCTCTAGTATCTTCTGCTTTTTATTTCAGAATTTACATAATCTTATTTACTTATTAAGCATATTTGCTTACTTATCGTACATGTTAATCTCAAGGAACCTTCAGCTCCAAGACTTACATGAACAACTCCCCATTGCCTACAACACAAATTGTTTAGACTGTCATATCTTAATCCACTTCACTTCCAATTATAGCCCTTCAGAAGGCCAGTAACTGTGTGGCTGTGGTTAGGTTACTTATCCTCTCTGTTTCTCTAACTCTCCCTCAGAATTGTTAAGACAAAGTAAGAGATCAGAACACTGCCAAGCGCATAGTACTTTCTGAACTGGAGGCAGTTACACATAGCTAATGAAGCTTAACCTTTAGCACAGCTCACTAGAACAGACCTGTTCCAAAGTGACAGAACGGGCCCCAGCAATTTTGTGTTCACAATTTTATAGCATTTCCTTACTGTAGGCCCAACAAAATATATAGGGCTCAAGTCTCTTTATTCACAGTAATATTAAACTATTATCATACCTGAAAGGCAGATTTTTGCCTTTCTCTACCCTCAAAAAGTTCCTTCACTCTTCCCCATTTAACAAATAGAGAGAAGGCAATATGCTAGACACTGCAAAGGAATCAAAGATTTCTGTTCCCAAGCTATATTTTCAAAAGAGAAAAGAGATCTACATGTAAAATAAGAAGCAAGTTACAAAGAAAATGTTGAGAATCCAAGGGAAGGACATCTGGAATGGCTGGTGAAATAAAAGGCTTCATGGAAAGAATAGTATTTGAGACAGACTCTAAAGAGGGATAGAATTTTAGCCAACAGTTAGGTGTGTGGAGAAACAGAAGATAAATTAAACCTCAGAAAATGAAAATCAGAAGCTGGTTATGATTTATTTTGTCCAGGCCTAGTTGCTCTCAAGTCCTACCAAGGCAGGAAGCTTTTCCAAACCATGATCCATCCTGATATTTATTAGAGCTACCTAGAATTGTCTACCCAGTATTTTTGGAACCTACATACTTAAATTATAAATTCTTTTTTTTTTTTTTTTTTTATCCTCACCCGAGGATATTTTTCCATTTTTTGTACAGATAGAGTGGGAGGGCGAGAGAGGAAGGGAGAGAGAGAGAGAAACATCGACGTGAAGGCACACATCGAGTGGCTGCCACCCGCACGACCAACCAGGGCCGGGGACAAACTGCAACCGAAGTACGTGCCCTTAGCGGGAACCGAACCCGGGTCTCTCCCGACCGCAGGCCGACGCTCTAACCGCTGAGCCAAACTGGCCAGGGCTTAAATTATAAATTCTATAGAAAATAAGTTTCATAGATGTTTCCATGTATTTTAGATTATCATTTAGGGAAAAAAACAACAACTATGGACTGATTTAAGAAACAAATCAAATTAGTATTAGGACTCATCTATATTATTCAATAAAAGGGAAAGAACAGATGCTAAGTTCTATCTCATGTTTAAATTACCAAGTGAATACAAAGGGCTCAAAATATATATGTACTTTAAAGTTTAAAACATGTACTCAGCCCTGGCTGGTTTGGCTCAGCGGTTAGAGCGTCGGCCTGCGGTCCTGAGAGACCCGGGTTCGGTTCCCGCTAAGGGCGCATACCTCGGTTGCAGTTTGTCCCCGGCCCTGGTCGGTTGTGCGGGTGGCAGCCACTCGATGTGTTCCTTTCACATCGATGTTTCTCTCTCTCTCTGTTCCTCTCTCTCCCTCCCACTCTACCTGAACAAAAAATGGAAAAATGTCCTCCGGTGAGGATAAAAAAAAAAAAAAAAAAAAAAAAAAAAACAACATGTACTCAATATAAAACTTTTTATTAAATAGACTTCAGAGAACTAATCATAAATTATTAAATTTCAGGGAAATTAACTTCATAGCTGTTAACAAGAATAACACCAAAACCTATATCCCTGTTGACCTAAGTGTGCAGAAACACTGAAGTTATTTACCTACCACAGAAGTGAACAAATACTACATTTATACACATTTAAATATCAAAAAGACAGTCTTCCATTTTTTCCATATTTCCATATATTGTGCCTACTGCACTGCTCTGAATATTAGGTGAATACTCAGAGCACTAATGACTACACCAGCCACTCCAACCCCTCCCCCCAAATGATCAATAGGTCAAAATTACAGCTTTTTTTTTTTTTTGTCAAATACTTAACACCACCACAATACTAATTTGAAAATCTGCTTCTCAGCTAATGAGAAAAGCGACAAAGCTACCAGAATCACTCAGAAGCAAAGAGTTCATTTCATAATTCCATCTGAAAATGTATACCTATTACAGAATGAGTTCAATACAGATTCCTAAATTACAAGATACTGTTAATCTAGAGAAACCCTAGAGAGCTTCACTTTACTGAAAACCTTTCACTTAAGTTCCCATAATGATCACAATATCAAAACACACCGTAATTTTTCTGTTATGCAGGTAAGAGTTAACACTTGTAAGCCTTAGTTCTGACATATTCATAACTTTCTTAGGCCCTTCCATTAGTCTTCTAAAGACATTACAAACACCTAATATGAAAAAATTCCAAGATATGTCTAAATGCTTAGCCAAAAGTATGTATACTGGAAGCAGGGTGATTTCTTAATAGCTGCACATGACCTAGTATCTTATGACTAGCTTATTGAGAGACTCGCCCCAGCTGCCCCTTCTCCAGGTTAACTGCTAGCTCCAGCCATTTCTAAAAGTTTAACAGGAAGGGAGAAGGAAGTAAAACAACAACAAAAACGCAATGTAGATCTTCTCATAACTTTAAAAAAACAAACAAAAAATACCAACCCCGCCCCCTCAATGTACTACCAAAAGAAAAGATCACCTACCCACCTTCTCTCTTAAAGAGGGCCTCATCAATTTTAACTAATTAGCCTTAGAGTCCTACAAATGACTATCTGATTTTGGAAAAGGGGATTTAAAAAACACAGGAAAGGTTAAGATGTCTTTTCCTTACTCTGGCCCTCTGACTGCAAGATTTTATTAAATAACGCCCTTCTTCCTGGACTAAAAGTGGGTCCAACAGTTCCAAGTTACTACGAATATTTTTTGAGCAGAGCAAAGGATGAGGGAAAAGTACAGAAGTCCCCCTCACTGAGATCTCTCCCTACATCTAACCTGGCATAGTAGTGTTCCACCTCAGATTTCAGCACCAAGCCTAGTTGTGACGGCTTCTGTCAAAACAGCCACGTTCCCAGAATCCCCCAACCCTACCCTGCTTGGCATCTCTGGACTAACCTCGTTTGAGATCCAATTTGCACCGTTCCCATACCCAGTTGTTCGGCCACCGCTGTTGCTCAACCCGGATTCCTACCCCGGGACAGCTGCCCCCGAGTCCCAAGTAATGGTGCGCATCCTGCTAACTGGATCCGGGGTTGGGACACGCTTTCCCCGATCTTCGGTGGCAAGCCGCTGCCGACTCCCAAGGTAGATAAGGGGGACCGTCCCCTTCTCTCCCTTTTCCCACTCCACCCCTAGTTCGAGCACTCCTGCGGCAGAACTCAGCCCCGCACCCTTGCATATTCCTTGCATATTCCGCAGCCTCCGCCCTGGGACAGTCCGTGCCTCCCGCCCAGCCCCACCCCACCCCATGCTCTCGGTTGCTCGCCTCACGACAGGTGAGTGTGGACAGGGGGCCTTGGCCCCGTGTGTTGCTCACCTTGCTGAGGACTCCGCAGCGCTCCACAGGCGGCCCGGACTCCGTCTCCGGATCCTCCTCCGAGCCTGACGAGTTCCAGCTCTGGTTATCCGACATGGAGGCGCGACAGGCAAGCGGGAGACCGGCCCCCGCTCCGTGAGCTGCGCCGGAGGAGGCGCCCAGTCCCCGGGGTGAAACGTCGGGGGATGGCGAAGGGAAGAGCGCCCGCTCCGGTGTCGGGGGGTGCAGGAGGTAGGACGAAGTCCGCCCCACGCGCCGCCGCCGCCGCGCCTGACACCGAGCGGACCGGGGAAGGAGGACGAGCGGCGAAGGAAGCCTGCCCTTGCAGCCGTCAGCCGCCGCCGTCGCCGTGACCCCTGCGCTGCGACCGGCGCTGCCACCCGAACTCAGCCCCCTCGATGCCAATCTCAAAAGGAGAAGAAAAAGGGGAGGAAAAAGGGAAGAGAAAAATCCAACTGCAGAGACTCGGGTCCACTCACACCTCCTCTCCCGCCGCCATCTTCCTGTCTGGCCCACTATTTACTTGCCCCTCCCCTCTTCCCTCCTCTTCGTCCTCCCATTCTCCCCCCGGCCTCCCGCCCCGTCCCCTTCCCAACGTCTGACGCTACACGCCGAAGGCTTGGGGTCCGTCCCTCACCCTACCTCCAGCCCTCCCGGGTGACGCCGGGTAGGGAAGTAGGAGGAGCAGAGAAAGGAGGAGGGGTGAGGACATCGCTGTGCTGCATTCTGGGAAGGGCCAGCTCCGTCAGCCTCGTTGCCTCCTGGGAGTTGTAGTCTTGATCCTGAGTCCACGGGTGAGTGTTTCGCACGGGTAAGGCTTGTTATCTTGGGGACGGTCAAGCGGTGGGTGGGCTTGGTTTGACAGTTGCGTGACCAATTCCCTCCGCCGCGCTTCTCTTTCTGCCTATCGTGTTTATGACGAACCCGCCGGGCTTGGGGGACCGGACGTGAGATAACTCTCCGCAGAGGATGCCAGGCCTGCCTTCCATGGCGGCTTCCCGAAAGCCCGGGAGCATTTTGCCGCTTACCTGGGCAGGAGTGTATGGGACCCTTCCACTTCAACCAAGGGCCAAGGGTTTGCGATCTCTCCGGAGACAAGGGGGATTTCTTTCCACCAAACGACCTCCGCAAATTTTGAAGGTCTTTCATCTCGCTCTTTAGAAATTAGACTTCACACTTGACGTTTCCCGCTTTTGAAGAAAAAATGTTCAGTTCCTTCTCACCAGAGCAAACACTTCGCGTTGTTAGATTTACAGTTTTATTTTGTGAAGGGTACTTTTGAAGGTGGCAGAGAATAAATCACATTTTAAGAGTTTTTAAAATAAAATAAGAATGTAATGTGCAGGTGATAGCCTGGCGTTTTTTCTTAGTTGCGAATGAGCATCTTCCCGAGACTCAGGTTAACAATTTCAACCGACCTACCGCTCTCTGAAAGATAGAAAAGGTTGGTACAGAAAATTTGTTCTCTAAGAAGGACCAAAGTGCAATCGTCATTGAGTAAGTACCAAGGGATTAGGCAATAGGAGGCTAGCTTTGTTTTAAGACTAGAACTGAACTAGTGGGAAGACCTATAGAAGCTCTAACAGATCTTGTTTAGTCTTTTTGCATACATTATAAGGATAATTCTAATTGCGAGGTCTTTAACTTGGTAGCTTCAGGTCTTTCCTCCCATTTGCTACCTTTACAATTTTGTCAACTTCTTAATTTCCAACAATAAAATTCGTTATTAAACCTTAGAAAAAATACCTGCTTACTGCTGAAATTGGAGTATAGGAGTGAAAATTTGAGTCTGGTGGAAAGGGCATAATGGCTAGAAATAACTCTGACAGCAATAGAGGCCAACTTCACTGGGATCTTAATGGAATAATGGGAAGTGTCTCTGAGAAGTACCTACATTCTATTACCAAGATGACATTTACAGATGTTGAATCTGTTGTAAACAAATTACAAATCGATTTCATTGTGAAATCAAGTGATAAATGAAAGCTATTCAGATGAATAACATCTTGAGATAAAGCTTTTGAAGATACTTTGTCAAGATGTTAATTAAAACATAATCCCAAGGTTGTCATTCAAAAGGGAAAAAAGAAAAAAAAAACCCATTTGGCACATTTTTTCCTCTTCATTGTATTACTAAATCATTCTTTAGAATGTTGACTACTGTAGCAATAAAGTTTTGCTTTGCCTTCTGATTACCTAATGTAGTTAGACTTCCTATTTCTGATTCTTTTAAGCTCTAGGTTTTAAGTTTTTTGTTTTTATTTTTGATACATGCCCCTAGCGGGAACCGAACCCCGGACTCTCTGGTCCGCAGGCCGACGCTCCAACCTCTGAGCCAAATCAGCTAGGGCAAAGCTCTAAGTTTTAAAATGTAATTCATCTTAAGCAAATGCTTGTGAATTGCTGAGAAATTCACTTCATAATGCAATTTAGAATCATGGGAGTGCAGTATATGTTTATTTTTAAATTGAACTTTGTTGTATTTTATGAATTTCTAAGTTGTGTGTGGTTGCAACCACCAGCACATAGATCACTAAGGTGTCCACTTACTCAACAGGAAATTGTTTCATTTTATTTAATATTATTATAAGAGAAATTGCCTTTTTTAAAATTTTTGAGATTGCACTGCTGTCTGTTTCACTACCAGCCTCAATTGGTGTCAAGAAATTGCCTTTTTAAAAAAGATTTTGCCACGATCTTCTTTTATATTTATAAGACTATTTAAATTGTTTTCTAATTTAAGAAGATTTTTGTATACTGATTAGAATAGAATGCCACATTAGAGGTTGGAATTCACTTCATTCCTGTTAATGGGAAGAAATTGCAACACAAGAATAAAATACATGTACTTTCTCTTAATTGTATGTAGTGAGACTGATAGCTTCTGATTTGTCTCTCTTAGAGCCGTCCCCAACCCTCTTACTAATGTTCTACATTTTCTCTTTTAAATTTTTTTTTTTTTTTACTTTTAGAACTGGAATCCACCTGGGATTTATTTTTGTATACGGAATGAGGTAGGAATTTAATTGTTTTTTCAGGACAGCCACTTGGCCCAACACTTTATTGAATAGTCTATTCTTATCCTTATGTGATACGCAAAATTCCCATATACACATAGGTTTGTTTCTGGACTCCGTTCTTTTTTTTAAACTAATTTTTTATTTTTCAGTTACAGTTGACATACAATATTATATTAGTTTCAGGTATACAACCTAGTGGTTAGACATTTATATAACTTATGAATTGATCACCCTGATAAATCTAGTATCCATCTGACACCATACATAGTTATTACAATATTAATTGACTATATTCCCTATGCTATACATTACATCCCATGACTATTTTGTAACTACCAGTTTGTACTTCTTTTTTTTTTTTTCAAATCTTTATTGTTGGATGTAAAATGTACTACAGATGTTCCACATTTTGCCCCCATTGACCCCCTCCTCCCCACTCCCACCCACCTCCCACCTTTTCCCACACTATTGTCTGTGTCCATTGGTTATGCATATAAGTTCTTTGGTTTATTTCTTCCCACCCCCCCCAACCCCTTTCCCTCTGAGGTTTGTCAGTCTAGCAATGAATTTGTACTTCTTAATCCCTTCACCTTTTTCACCCATTCCCCCAAACCCCCTCCCAACTGGCAACCAACAAAATGTTCTCTGTATCTATAAGAATGTTTCTGTTCTGCCTGTTCATTTTGTTTGTAGATTCCGTTGTCGATAGATATGTATTCATTGCCATTTTGTTTGTTCATATATTTTATCTTTTTCTTCAAAAAGACTCTTCATCATTTCATATAACGGTTTGGTAGTGATGAACTCCTTTAACTTTTTCTTGTCTGGGAAAGTCTTTATATGGCCATTGATTCTAAATGACAGCTTTGCAGGACAGAGTAATCTTGGTTGTAGGTTCTTGCTTTTCATCACTCTGAATATTTCTTGCCACTCCCTTCTGGCCTGCAAAGTTTCTTTTGAGAAATCAGCTGACAGCCTTATGGGAACTCCCTTGTAGGTAACTAGCTGCCTTTCTCTTGCTGCTTTTAAGATTCTCTCTTTGTCTTGAACCTTTTGCATTTTGATGATGATGTGTCTTGGTGTGGGCCTCTTGGGGTTCATCTTGTTTGGGACTCTCTGTGCTTCCTGGACTTGTATGTCTGATTCGTTCACCAAGTTAGGAAAGTTTTCTGCCATTATTGTTTCAAACAGGTTTTCGATTTCTTGTTCTCTCTCTTCTCCTTCTGGCACCCCCAAGATGCGAATGTTGGCACGCTTGAAATTGCCCCAGAGGCTCCTTACACTATCCTCATGTTTTTGGATTCTTTTTTCTTTTTGCTGTTCTGATTGGGCGTTTTTTGCTTCCTTATATTCCAAATTGATGGTTCGCTCCTTGGATTTATGTACTCTATTATTGAAGCTGTGTAAATTATTCTTTATTTCAGTTAATGCCTCCTTTAATTCTAACTGTGTATCCATGATTTCTGACTGGTCCTTTTTTTATGCTCTTGAGGCCCTCCTTAAGTTCACTGAGGTTCTCACTAAGTTCATTGAGCATCCTTATAAGCAGTATTTTGAACTCAGTATCTGTTAGGTTGCTTATCTGCATTTCACTTAGTTCTTTTCTTGGGGTTTTGTTCTGTTCTTTCATTTGGGACCTGTTTCTTTGTCTCCTCATTTTGGCTGCTTCCCTGTGTTTGTTTCAGTGTATTACTTAATGAGAGGTATGGGGCTCGCTGAGACCAGATGCTGCTCGTTTGAAAGAATTTAGGAAAACCTGAAGCAGGATCCAAGACCGGCCAATCCTATGGTTAAGCAAGTGGCAACAGCTTGGATGGGCCTGAAAGTTGGGCGGGGCGGGGCCTCAGGGAGTCAGCAGGGCGGGGCTACCAGTGTGAGCCAGGTTGCTGGAGTCCCAGATATGGAGACTGTCTGCCACCCCGGGGAAGGGCTCACCAAAGGAACAAAGGCCTCTTACAGCACGTTTGCCCCCGAGAAAGCCCTCTCTCCAGCCCTCGCTCCAGTGCCAAACAGCTCAGTTCTTCCCTGTATGTCTCTGGTGCCCCTTGAGCTGCCTCCCCTCCGAGCTTAGAGGGAGAGAGTCCGATAAGTCTGTGAGCGGGCCCTTTAAGGAGCTGCCTGGGGCTCCAGGCACGTCAGCTTCCCTGAGCCTCAGTTTCCGCCAGTTTTTCCAGCCAGAAGTTATGGGGACTTCTCCTCCTGGCACTGGAACCCTGAGCGAGTCACCTGGTGTGGGACGGGGACCCCTCAGTCCTCAGGAAGGACCTTCCCAGCCGCGGGAGCCTCCTGATTTTTATCCGCCACACGTGGGTGTGGGACCAGCTCATTGCGCCGCCCGCCGCCCCTCGCGCTGCCGCCTCTCCTACCAGTCTGGATGTGGCTGCTGATTTAATTTCGTAGTTGTAGGACTTCCATTCAGCTTGATTTCAGGCGGTTTTGAATGATGGTTGTTCTGTAGTTTAGTTGTAACTTTGATGTGGTTGTGGGAGGACGTGATACCGCGTTTACCTACCCGCCATCTTGCCCGGAAGTCTCAGTACTTCTTAATTCCTTCCCCATTTTTCACTCATTCCCCAGCCCCCACCTCCCATCTGGCAACCATCAACATGTTCTCTATATCTTTGAATTTCTTTCGGTTTTGTTATTTTTATATAACATATATAAGTGAAATCATTTGGTATTTGTCTTTGTCTGGCTTATTTTACTTAGCAGAATACCCTGTAGGTCCAATCATGTTGCAGATAGCAAGATTTCTTTGTGGCTGAGTAGTATTCCATTGTATATATGTACCGCTTCTTTATCCATTCATCTCTCTCTTTTTTTTTCATTTTAAAAAAATCTTTATTGTTGAATGTAGAATGTATTACAGATGTTTTCTTTTTTCTCCCATTGACCCCCTCCACCCCACTCCTGCCCCCCTCCCACCTTTTCCCACACTATTGTCTGTGTCCATTGGTTATGCATATAAGTTCTTTGGTTTATTTCTTCCCACCCCCCCCCAACCCCTTTCCCTCTGAGGTTTGTCAGTCTAGCAATGAATTTGTACTTCTTAATCCCTTCACCTTTTTCACCCATTCCCCCAAACCCCCTCCCAACTGGCAACCAACAAAATGTTCTCTGTATCTATGAGAATGTTTCTGTTCTGCCTGTTCATTTTGTTTGTAGATTCCGTTGTCGATAGATATGTATTCATTGCCATTTTGTTTGTTCATATATTTTATCTTTTTCTTCAAAAAGACCCTTCATCATTTCATATAATAACGGTTAGGTGGTGATGAACTCCTTTAACTTTTTCTTGTCTGGGAAAGTCTTTATATGGCCATCGATTCTAAATGACAGCTTTGCAGGACAGAGTAATCTTGGTTGTAGGTTCTTGCTTTTCATCACTCTGAATATTTCTTGCCACTCCCTTCTGGCCTGCAAAGTTTCTTTTGAGAAATCAGCTGACAGCCTTATGGGAACTCCCTTGTAGGTAACTAGCTGCCTTTCTCTTGCTGCTTTTAAGATTCTCTCTTTGTCTTGAACCTTTTGCATTTTGATGATGATGTGTCTTGGTGTGGGCCTCTTGGGGTTCATCTTGTTTGGGACTCTCTGTGCTTCCTGGACTTGTATGTCTGTTTCGTTCACCAAGTTAGGAAAGTTTTCTGCCATTATTGTTTCAAACAGGTTTTCGATTTCTTGTTCTCTCTCTTCTCCTTCTGGCACCCCCAAGATGCGAATGTTGGCACGCTTGAAATTGCCCCAGAGGCTCCTTACACTATCCTCATGTTTTTGGATTCTTTTTTCTTTTTGCTGTTCTGATTGGGTGTTTTTTGCTTCCTTATATTCCAAATTGATGGTTCGCTCCTTGGATTTACGTACTCTATTATTGAAGCTGTGTAAATTATTCTTTATTTCAGTTAATGCCTCCTTTAATTCTAACTGTGTATCCATGATTTCTGACTGGTCCTTTTTTTATGCTCTTGAGGCCCTCCTTAAGTTCACTGAGGTTCTCACTAAGTTCATTGAGCATCCTTATAAGCAGTATTTTGAACTCAGCATCTGTTAGGTTGCTTATCTCCATTTCACTTAGTTCTTTTCTTGGGGTTTTGTTCTGTTCTTTCATTTGGGACCTGTTTCTTTGTCTCCTCATTTTGGCTGCCTCCCTGTGTTTGTTTCAGTGTATTACTTAATGAGAGGTATGGGGCTCGCTGAGACCAGATGCTGCTCGTTTGAAAGAATTTAGGAAAACCTGAAGCAGGATCCAAGACCGGCCAATCCTATGGTTAAGCAAGTGGCAACAGCTTGGGTGGGCCTGAAAGTTGGGTGGGGCAGGGCCTCAAGGTATCACCAGGGCGGGCCTACCAGTGTGAGCCAGGTTGCTGGAGTCCCAGATATGGAGAGTGTCTGCCACTCCAGGGAAGGGCTCACCAAAGGAACAAAGGCCTCTGACAGCATGTTTGTCCCGGAGAAAGCCCCCTCTCCAGTGCCAAACAGCTCATTTCTTCCCTGTATGTCTCTGGTGCCCCTCGAGCTGCCTCCCCTCTAAGCTTAGAGGGAGTGAGTCCGATAAGTCTGTGCGCAGGCCCTTTAAGGAGCTGCCTGGGTCTCCAGCCATTTCAGCTTCCCTGAGCCTCAGTTCCTGCTGGGTTTTCCAGCCAGAAGTTATGGGGACTTCTCTTCCTGGCACTGGAACCCTGAGCGGGTCACCTGGTGTGGGACGGGGACCCCCCCAGTCCTCAGAGAGGACCTTCCCAGCCAGGTGTCCTCCTGATTTTTATCTGCTCCACGTGAGTATGGGACTATCCCGTAGCGCCTCCGCCCCTCGCACCTCTGCCCCTCTGCCCCTCCTACCAGTCTGGATGTGGCTGCTGCTTTAATTTCATAGTTGTAGGACTTCCATTCAGCTTGATTTCAGGCAGTTTTGAATGATGGTTGTTCTGTAGTTTAGTTGTAACTTTGATGTGGTTGTGGGAGGATGCGATACCACGTTTACCTACGTGCCATCTTGACCGGAACCATTCATCTCTTGATGGACACTTAGGTTGCTTTCATATCTTGGCTATGGTAAATAATGCTTCAATGAGCATATGGATACATATGTTTTTTCAAAGTAGTGTTTGGGTTTCTTCTACACTTTAGAAGTGGAGTTGCTGAGCTGGACTCCATTCTTTTTCATTGATCTGTTGGTATATACCTATGCTAGTACCATACTGATTTAATTATTTTACATATATATTTATATATTTTATATACATATAAAATACAAAAATTCTCCCAATGTTCTTTTTCATTTGGATATTTTTGTGTATCTTCTTTTCCAGATGAATTTTAGAACAGCTCGTCAAATTGCATGGAAAATCATATGGGGATTTGGATTGAGAATGCACTTGATTTGTGAAGAAAATAACATCTTCACAGTATTCTTAGGATTGGTCAGGCACTTCATACAATCTGACTTATTCATAACAAACCATATAAGGTGAACATTGTTGGCCTCATTTTAAGGGTAATGAAACTGAAGCTCAGGGAAGCTAACATATTACCTGGTGTCATATGGCTTCTAAGTGGCAGAGTTAGGATTTGAATACAGATATATATGATTTCAAAGATCATACCCTTTTCTTTGCTTCAGAAAACCTCTAAAAAGGGAAGAATTATATAAATAAATAATATATCCTGTAGATAAGTATATCAGATCAACTATACTCTTAATTCAGCTAATGATTTTCAACATCATTCAATTATGAATGCTCTTACTTTTTTTCTTTACTCCTCACTTGAGGATATTTTTCCATTGATTTTCAGGTGGGAGGGGAGGGAGCAAGAGAGAGAGAGAGAAACATCAACGTGAGAGAGACATATCGATTGGTTGCCTCCCACATAACTCCAACTAAGGCCAGGAATTGAACCACAACTGAGGTACATGCCCTTGACTGGAATTGAATCTGAGACTCTGGTGCGGCCGACGCTCTGTCCTCTGAGCCTAACAAGCCAGGGCATTTGTGTTCTTATTTAAGCCCGATACAGAATCTATTATTTCTGTTTCTGATATTTGACATGATGAAACTAAACCACAGAGAAGTTAAATAACTTTCTGAAGTGTATACAGCTAATAAAGAGCATAGTTGCAGTTTGAGCCAAAATATCCTGATTCCAGTGTTCATTCCTATCCCACTAGGATTCTTCAGTTCCTCTTTTGTCTCCCTATATTCCACCTCACCTCATTCTCTCAGCTTTTATATCCACTAAACACCAATTCCAAAGGCTGCATCCTGGCCCTCCACTCCCTCTGCCAAGACACAAAAGCCGAATAACAAAACAAAACAAAAACACCCAGGGGTGTTGGACTTGAGAATGTTTGCAATTTTGCTGATCAGCAGGTAGAGGAATAAAGGGGAATATTTATTTGTTCCCGATGCTAGAACTATATAATAGGAGAGGATGTCCCAAGTTGAAACAGAAAACACTAATTTTTATAAAACAATGCTATAACCCTGGCTGGTTTGGCTCAGCAGTTAGCGCTTTGGCCCTAGGCACAAAGAGTCTCAAGTTGATTCCAATCAAGGGCATGTACCTGGGTTGCAGGTTCAATCCCTAACCCAGGTCAGGGTTGTACAGTGTACAGGAGGCAACCAATTGGTGTGTCTCTCGTATCAATGTTTTTCTCTCTTCCTCTCTCTCCCTCCCCCCTTCTCACTCTGTCTGAAAATCCATGGAAAAATATCCTTGGGTGAAGATTAAAAATAAAACAACAAAAATGCTGTAAAGAGCCTTATAGTCAGCTCGGACTGCCTTACAAAATACCACAGACTGGGTGGTTCTGGCCTTCCAATCCTATTGGTTAGGGCCCCACTCTTATGACTTCACTTACCCTTAATTACCTCTTTATAAGGCCTATCTCTAAATACAGTCACATTGGAAGTTAAAGCTTCAAATATGAATTGTGGGGGAACACAATTTAGTTCATAGCAAAGCTTGTAGGTTCTACATTTCCACAGTATCTGTTATGTTAAAAATGAGTTTTGAGTTAAATAGTCCTTTTTAGCTAATCTGGGAACTTAACTGTTCTTTATACTATTTTTCCAAACTGAAACATAACCAGTTAAAAGTTGGGTATCTGCATAAGAAACATGATTTTGCAAACTTAGAAATATTAATCTATGAAGCAGAGGTAATAATCTATGAATATCAACATTCTAAAAACTAGAGGACAAATGAGCAAAGTACAGCATATGAATAATACAAATGATTTTTTTGCCCTATTTTAATGTCTTGAATTATTATCTGGATGGTGAAATTATGAAGCATTTGAATTTTCTTCTTTATACTGTTTTGTATGAAGAAAAGAATGTATATAGGTTCATATGTATGCATACACACACACACATCACTTGTAGAAGAAAAGGTAATTTATAACTGATAAATTAGTTTAGGATTAGTTAATCTCTTCACATTCACTGTCTTCTAAATTAATTTTCAATTTTGAGTTGTTAATATCCCTGTGTTTTCATACATTTATCTCTTTATGATTAAGAGAATTGAGCCCTGACCAGTTTGGCTCAGTGGTTAGAGCGTGGCCTGTGGTCTAGAAACCCGGGTTCAGTTCCCACTAAGGGCACGTACCTCAGTTGCAGTTTGTCCCCGGCCCTGGTTGGTCATGTGGGTGGCAGCCATTCGATGTGTCCCTTTCATGTCAATGTTTCTCTCTCTCTCTTCCTCTCCCTCCCACTCTGTCTGGCCAAAAAATGGATAAAAAAGAGAGAATTGATGATTGCAACATGTCTTAAGAATAACCCATTAGCTCTGGGGTGATTCAGTTGATTGGGTGTCATCTTGTGAACCAAAGGGTTTCTGGTTGGATTTCCAGTTGGGGCATATGCCCCGGTTTGGGGTTTGGTCCCCACTGGGGGAGGTGTGTGGGAGGCAACCAATTGATATATCTCTCTCGCATTGATGTTTCTCTCTCTCTCTCCCCCTCTATCTAAAAAATTAATGGAAAAATATTCTCGGGTTAGGATTAACAACAACAAAAAATTGATATCAAGATCAGGACTCAAAGCCCTGGCCGGTTTAGCTCAGCGGTTAGATCATCGGCCCATGGACCAGAGAGACCCAGGTTTGGTTCTCAGTAAGGGCACATACCTTGGCTGCAGTTTGTCCCCAGCCTGGTTGGGGTCATGTGGGTGGCAACCTCTCGATGTGTCTCTCTCACAAAGATCTTTCTCTGGCTCTCTTACTCCCTACCTCCCTCCTGTTCTGACCAAAAAAAAAAAAAATGTCCTTCGGTGAGAATTAAAAAAAAAAAAAAAAACTGGAGCAGGGAGATAATTGAAAGGATTGTTTTTCCAGGATAGGAAAATAAAATAATATCTTGTAAACTCTTGCTATACAATTTATTACATTTGTTTTTCCTTCCAATAATGTAGGACACAACACGGTATAGTGATAAATAGTATAGTAGATCCATTTTCCAGTAGTATTGTAACTCTATCTTATTATCCTGACTTCTTATATAATTTAAATTAAATTGGCACATTTGAGATTGTAAAACTTAAAAAATTATTACAATACCAAAAAAGGTACTATAGAAGAATCCTTTCCTCTTTTTCTAAGAACATATGTATTCAACTGTCCTTTAAGCTTTGTGCATTTTACTATATACTTAAACAAAATTTGTCTGTTCATTATTACTTCTGTGTAAGTAAATGGTTTTGCTGACTTGATCTAGTACCCAAAGAAAGAACCTCTCAGCCTAACTCCTCCATGTTAATGAATCAACATCCCCAGAAACAATCAACTTCTGTAAGATATGTTTAGTTTATTGCAGTTGTTAAATGTCCCGAGTGTGTTTTTTCTGAGTGTAAACAACGTTTTTATTGTTAAAAAACCTGCCAGACTTTTTACAAAATATGAAACACATCATCAAAATAGGAACTTCACTTTGGGTAGTTTACCATTGGACCGATATTTTAGTTAATGTGTTTTGTATCAGGATATTTTTCATTCTGTACTAAAGAAGCAAATAGTTTCATTTTATTACTCTGTAAGAGTGAATTTTATATGTCTCTAAGATTAAGTGGAGTGTAGGTTTTTTGACTGCCTCTGCCCCATTCTTCTTTGGAATAGAAAACACAGGAAAGGAAAAAGCAATTGCAAAGAATATGTGCATGGTTCTCTATTAAAGAGTAGACCTATGTCTTTGGTGAAAACTTGAATTTTCTTTTGGCTTACATGTCCTTGGTTTAGGATTTGGGTGGTTACATTATTTCACTTATTTCTCTCAGCAATACATGCACATTTAAAAATCAAATAATCCACTCTGAAGTAATTTTGAAATTTTTGTACATCTTATTTTGTAAGACCTTAAAAGTTAAAGCTCCCTGGCTGGATAGTTCAGTTGGTTAGAGTGTTGTCCCCATTTGCCAAGGTGGCAGGTTCAATCCAAGGTCAGGGCACATACAAAAATGCATAAATACGTGAAACAACAAATCTATCTATCATCTATCTATCTATCTATCTATCTATCTATCTATCTATTTATCTATCTATCTCCTCTTTCCCCTCTTCTCTCTTTCTCAAATTCCTTTTAAATGCTAAAGCTAAAAATACAGGTGTTCCTATCATATAAGAATCATAGGTATGTGGCTTGAGCATGTGTGTACGTATATGTATATAAATTGGAGAGGAACATAGAACATAATCCATTCAAGTCTTAGATTGTGATTTTTTATTTTCTCGAAAATTAAAAAATATTTTTACAAGAAATGAAACCAAAAAAAAATTTTAAGTCAGACATTAAAATTAGGTAGTCAGAAAATGACTACTTTAAATTAGATGTGAATATTAATCACTGCTTGACTACGTTAATAAAGTTGTTTAACTATAAAAAATAATAAAATAAATTAGGATAGTATTCTTTATTGTATTTAAATTTAGATAGTAAAAGGAAGATTTAATCATAGTCTGAAGTTTAGTGCTGGGTGCTTAATTTGTTCAAACAAACATTAAATATTTGAACATTTGAAGAGTTTAAAAAATAATATTTGTTCGCCCGACCCGTGTGGCTCAGTGGTTGAGCATTGACCCATGCACCAGGAGGTCACTGGTTCAATTCCTGGTCAGGACATCAATAAAGAAAAAAAATTTTTTTAAATAAATAAAAATTAAAATAATATTTTTCCTAAAACATATACAGGTTTTTCTAGGAGGTTATTTGGTTTGGTTATTTATAATATATTAGAAATAAGAAGCAGGCTTCACCTAGGAACTTCCCTATGGTTTAGTTTTTCCTCCTTTTCCCATCTCTTTTCTTTTCCTGCTCCATTTTCTCTTATTAGTATATTTTCTGGTGACTTTGTTCTGTATACTAAGTGCTTGTAATACTGTTTATGTAGTTTTGGGTGCTTTTTTCTTTATAGGTAGGCAGAACCCTACCATGTAAAACTTCTTCCTTAGAATTCCTTCCAAAAAGTTCTAATT